TTTTCTCCTATTGATAAACTGCTGGCACAAGCAACTCCTCTCTCCCTACCTGACACAGTTCCAAGTTCTATGGAGTGTTCTGAGCACCCAGAGTGAATATTCCATAAATAACAGGCACTATAGACCCTCACTACAGCTAACATTTTAATAACAGCCTCTGCTTTTTGAGCACTTACTGAATGTCAGGCACTGTGCCATGCAGAATTGTGCCCAAGAACACAGACTTTCAATTTAGACAGACAGGAGTTGGAATCCAAGCTTCAGCACCTACCTATGAGGTGAGTAAGTAGGATTCATTACCTCACTGCCAGTCTCTTCATCTGTAAATGAGGGAAATAACATTCCCTATCTTATACAAGTATTTGAATAATTAAAATAAAGAATACGCTGCATGTCATTGTGCCTGCTGTGCAGAAAGTTCTTGATGATAGCAGTCATTATTTTCATTACACAGGGTACTTATAGATGTGATTTCACTTGATACTTAGGTTAAATTCTAGGGAGTGGAGACCATTATCACGGTTTTATAAATTATCAAGATGCTTTGGGCAAAGACATGTAACTAGTAAAAAAAAGGCACTGTTTAACCTTGGAATTGACTTTTTAGCCAAACCCTTCTTAATGTGCCCATGGGTTTATGTAAGGAGAAGTCTTTGTAACAATACGCTCATGAAATCTTATATTGTAAGTCAGCAAAAGAGAAGCGAAATGGTGGTCTGCTATATAGATAGAGGACAGAGGTTGGACTTTATAGACACAAACCCCAGTTTAACCATTTAACCTTTGTGTGACTGAGGTCCCTTGGAGAGCTATTTATTTTATTAACATTTCAGGTTCCTCATATCTAAGAAAGTGTATGTATCCACCTTAAGATCTGTTGTGAGGATTAAACTGATAATGTATGGAAGACAAATTTTGGACTCTTGCCTAGAATATAGTAGATACCCAAACTAAACGCCAAGTATTATAAATATTTCTCAATATCAGACAGCAATAGAAGGCTAAACCCAAAGTCTTCTTACGCCTCTGGACATTGTTGCAGTGGTCTTCTTACTACTCACTGATGGTGTGTGGTCACTCTGTGCCAAGGTGGATACTACGTAGTTACTGTTTATATATTTCCTCCATTCTTTCCAATAACTGTATGAGGTTGGTGTGATCAGTTCTGTTTCAAAGATAAGGAAACTGAGGCTCAGGAATATGAGGAGACTAGCTCAAGGTAAAGCTAACAGGAAGTGGGATGTAAGAGTGTTGGGTACTGAGTCAGCTCTGCTGAATTCCAAATATCTGCTTTCTTCCCAGCATGCTGCTGCCTGTACAGTGAGAAGAGGGCATTTTAGTGCTCAGAGTACCAAAGTCTGGGGTGAAGAAATAGAGGAGATAACAGTTCACTCTTCTCCTGGCCGAGTGCCACTGAATACTTCCTTGTTACACCACTCCTTGGGATATTAATACTCAGACTGTGCAACCTTCTGGGGCAAGGAAGATGCCCAACTCAGGACTCACGACTCTGAAGAGCATGCTGGTTCCACTCAGTACACATGGATTGTATCAGGCTCCGGGGGCTGAGCAGGGGCTGAGTTCCTTGCATGGGCAGGTAGGATGTTTGTGCTGAGAAAATGAGATGGAGCTCACAGACTCTTGCTTCCAGACTTACTTGAGATTCGACTGGATGCTCTTGGTCTTCTCACAAACCGTCTCAGATCTTCACTAAATTCGAAAAGACTGGATCATCCAGTAGCCACATGACATATATTTGGAACTTTGGGAAAGCCTAGTCCCAGAACAGAATTTTTGTTAGCCATGTAGCCATAGGCAAATCAGTAACTTGCTGAATCTCAGATCTGGCATCCATGAAATGGAAAATCATCTCCCAGCCATCGCCATTGCTTGATTGAATGATGACTTAGGGGAAGAAAATAAATCACTCTTTTGGGTTTTGCTGTATTTTATGTGGTCAGAACAATGACAACATCTGGGTCAAGAAGAGACATGATGGCTGCTTAATCCCTGCTGTCTGGAATTGTAGACAAACCCTGGCCTGTCATGGACCTCAATTTACCCATCTGGGAAATGGAAGATCATAGCAAAGCAGAACATCTCAAAGGTTTCAACTGAAGTGGTCTTCATAATAAAAGCAAATATTGTTATATGCCAAGCTCCTCTGATCTGATCTTTTTGTTGTAGCTACATAAATGTTAGTACAATTCTCACTTTATAGACAACAAAAATAAAGCACAGAGAGGTTCAATACTTTGCCCAAGATCATTCAGAGAGGGAAGCGGCAGAGGATCACTTTGTATCCAGGTGCTGGGTCTCCAGTGTCTGCATTTACAACCTCTTATCTCCCTACCTCCAGGTGATGGGCAGAATTCTCAGAATTTTCACCTTGATGAGGCTGGCCCTGCATCAATAGACATACTTGGGTCGAGTGTCTTCTGAACAGGATTGTCCCCTGAAGGTGCCGTGGAGACATAAAAAGTTTGGATGGACCCCATAAAGGGGAAAGAACTGTGGACGAGGAAGTAGTACCCCAGAGGCAGAGAGTTTAGTCCAGGAGTGTGCGGCTACTCCCTTCTTGGCCAGCCAAATCCTGAATTACAGGGAAACTCAGTGATGTCTGCGTCCTAATGATCCATTCTCACTGTGCAAAAAGGAAAGCCAAGAAACACTTTCTTGGGGAGACAGTCTGATTTAGTGAAACTAACCTTGGGCCTGGAGGCAGAAAAGGTACATTTAAGGCTCATGAATAGTTGAGATAATACAATGTACGTTGGTTGGTTATGAGAAGAATGTATGTAAGTATATCCTTTGCCACAACGTGAAAATACATAGCAAATATTAATAAAAGCCAAGTCTTAGTTCCTCACATTAAAGAAAGAAGTCACACCACCCCTCAGCTCTTCCTAACCCTAAAGGATACCCCAGGCTCCATGAGGACCTCAGCGTGTACCCTGAAATGGTGTTTTACAAATATGCACCCCCATATTGAGGCCATACTCTTAAGTGAAATAAATAGGACACACATGTAAACACCAAATAGTTTCTCTAGTATGAGAAACTGAAAGTGTAAATAAGGATTAAAATGACTAAAATGAATAATTGATAATTTGAAATAGGAAAAGGTCCAGAGGTGTAGGGGTGGTGGGAGGGGAAGGGGAAAGGGAAGAAGGGAAAGGAAAAATTATGAGAAAAGAAAAAAAATGGAAATGAAATCTATGTAAATAGGGAAGGGCGGAAGGGGTGAAGGGCACACAGGTAATGGGGAAAAAAATAAGATCCAAGATACATCATGTTCAGGTACAAACCCCCAATGATAAATGTAAACATACTGTATACCTAAAATGTACCAATAAAATAATTTTAAAAAACAAATATGCACCCCCAAATCAGCACGCTGGCACCCACTTATCTCAGCATGTGGCTGTATCATTTGCTAAATATATATATATATATATATATATATATATATATATGAAAAAAGTCTATCACACTCATTCCATGAATAACACAAAGGCCTTGATTTGTTCCTCCATGTGATGAGCATGCGTTAGGTCCAAAATTAACTTTGCTATCTGGCTGGGGTATGTGTATGTTTTCCCCAAAAGAGAAAATTTCCAAGATCTTACTCAGCCTAATCAGAATGTCTAATGCACAGTGTTAACTGAAGAGGAACAAGGGAAAGAAACCAAAATCAAAGGTCCGCTCTATTGTAGAAATCTCAATAAATATTGACTGTTGAATGGAAGGAAGACTTGAAGGTGTGGGAAGCTTCACTTATGCCAATCACTTTATCTCTCTGAGATTTACCTTTTTGTACACAGGGTGAGGATATCCTTTTCTACTTTTATGAATTGGATGCAACCATGCTAAAGGAGAAACTGAGAAAATGATGTAGGAGCGCTGTGGGGAGTATAACATTAGGAGGACAGCAGATATTACCATTCTTGGATCTCATTCTAAGCCGAATAGATCCATGTTTTCTACATAGATTTGTCTGTCTGATTGTCTTCTGTATATCATGCAAAGCTATTAATGACAACTTTTTAAGGAACCCATAATATGAGCCTATATACCTTCTATGCTACCACTTACATGATTTCACCCTTAGTAACCTTCTTGGGAGAGAAGGCAGAGCTATAATGGTGTATATCAGGGGGCCAACAGAGCTGGAAGCCTACTTCACCTCTCTGACCCATAACTTTCTCTCCAATGTGGCGGAGATGTGCCACACTTCATGCATTCTTGCCAAGAATACAATGAGACACTTTTCACAAATGTGCCCAGCATAGTGGCTGACATGTGGTAAATATTCAAGAAATTCTTGAATTGAAAGAAAACAAGGTGTAGAGGACACAGTTCAGGCTTTGCACCTAGACATGCATGGGTTCGAATACTCTATAGAGCAGCTCTGTCTCTTAGGAGCTATGTGATCTTGGGCAAGTTTCTTTTCCATCTGCTATAGATTTACAACTATGATGTGAGGGTTATGGAAGGGTCTCTATATACAACCGCGCTAGCTACACGCAGCCCATCTGCAGGGGCTGCTGTGTTGTAGTTGTGAGGTTTAAAGCACCTGATATATCGTGGCACTTGGAAAAGGGCAATGTAGCCTAGTTTTGTTCCAATTTTGTCTGTTCGGACATTCTTGGAAAGGTCAGCTATATTTTGGAGCGCTGAACCTCAGCCCTCAGCAGAGAGGGCCAAGCACGTGACAGGTGTTAAACAGCTATTCCTACAGATGTCAGCCAAAAGGCCAAGGAGTTGGTGACCCTTTATTTTCTTCTCTGAAGCATAATTAGTTTGTCACATCTGACAGATGATGGATGGGTATACATCAGTCCAGGTGACACCATGGAATCCATCCGACCTTCCGGTTACCATTCTAACTTCTTTCACTCTCCAGCTCCTTCCCTCCACCTGCTGACAATTTCCTGTCTCCTTTCATCTCTCCATCTTGCTATCCCCTCCCCAGTCCCGCTCACATCCCACTCACTCACCATCACAGAAATGTGGAGGATGTGCATCTGCTCCTCGACGATCTCTGAGGGCTCCTGGAGCGTGGGGGCAGTGGCCCGGGCCAGCTGCCCAGAGCTGCTCATGGAGACATGGAAGTACAAGGTGCCATTCTCCAGCCACTGCTGCCTCCAGTGCACCAGTGAGATGTCCGCCGCCGTGCCAGACATCTCTGTAAGACAAGACCAGAGGCAGTGGGTGAGCTGTATGCCTGGCTTTGGTGCTTCGGGGAGGAAAGGAGGCACACACAGTAGAGAGTGCAGGAGCATCTATCTGTGCCAGGATACCTTTCCTTCAACCAAATTAATCCATGAGCCAAAGATCACCACTTCCAGATTACAGATGGGACAAGTGTGGCCAAGATTTGTCCCAAGGAACAGAGGGGCAGAGGTAGGATTTGAACCCAGTCTGCTCAGTGTGTGCTTTTTTTAATGACACCATGCACAAAAAGGCCATTGTTTCTATTCTAACAGTGGAACAAAACTAAGCAAAAGGGTGAAAGTGCTCCATTTTTCTGAGGCTATGCAACTAAAAAAAAAAGGAGGAAATCCATGAGAGGAGTAGGAGTTCAGGTGTCAATTGTGTAGCAGCTGAGCTAGAAGTGGTCATGCAGAAGCTCAGAGAGGCCCAGGAGAGCATACGCCTCAGCCCAGATACCTCGAGGTCCTCCTGCACAGGAAGAGCTTGATGATGAGGTGTTCTGAGCCCAGGTCTCCTGTGCCAAAGAGAGCAGCTCCATTTTGGGAGAGTATATGTTGCACTCCAAGCAAGGGAGTGTTGGCTCAAAGCTCTCCTGGCCTTGAAAATATTTGAAAAGTACTGTTGATCCCTGTGCTCTCATAACTAGAAGGAAGTTAGGATTTTCAAATAAATTGTTCAATCCAGTCTCCTCGTTTAAAGATCCTAGCTCTTGTCTCAATCTTGTATTTCCTACTGTATATTTTTTCTAATTATCATTTGAATAATATTAGACATACCAATCTTACTCATTAAGTAAGATGGGTGAGTGGATGATGACACAAGCACCAAAAGTGTCATTGTACTGGAATTGCATAACCTTTCCTCAGCACTCTATTGAAGGGACTTCAGCAAAAGGTGGTGTGTTTCTTATAGTACTGTCAGGTCTGCACTGAAGTGACAATTACTCTGGGAGATGAGCAGCCTTGAGAGTATCCATCAGTGGACAAGTAGCCTTAGCACTGTTTGAGACTTGGAACTTTGGGGCCCCTTTCTGGGAAACAGAGGTGACCTTGGCATAGCATTCCTATGGTCCTTAAAGACCTCATGTGCATACATACACATACACACACACACACACACACACACACACACACACACTCTTAATGAGGATCGATGGCCAGGTTGTTACCACTTCTCCTTATCTAATAAACTCTTCCCATGCCTCACTGGTGACACTGAATGAGACAGTCACCTTGAAGAGAGGAGGAAATGACTCCTACTCGCCAAATTATACAGAATTATCCCAAGAGACTTTAACTCCTTGAGGTTTGCAATAAAAAACCCTCAGGGGAAGAATCTTTGTCACTTAACAAGTGCTAAGAAAAAAAGTTAGCTATGCTTTTTTAAGTTAAGTATTGATTTATTATCACCATCATTATTATTCATAGGGATGGGATCTAATTCATCCTTCAAGGGCTCTGAACAAAAAAAGAAAAAGCTGGAGATATCCTTTACTGCTTGTTTTCTCTCACACTTCTGCAGTCTATCCTCCAAAAGACATCCAAAATCCAACCCTTCTCAGCAACTCTGTAAGCCAATGTATGAACTATCCTCTTTTCTGGCTTACTGCCAGGGCTTTTTCCTTCTCTCTCTCCTTCCACCCTTGCCACTTCTGTCTATTCACAACCCACAGTCAGAGGAATCCTGCCACTATGTAAGTCATCTCACAACACTAACCTCTCCACTCCAAAACTTGAGTGGCCAGAATATAGTAATGTATGAGTCCAAATGCACATGTTTGGGTTTCCCTTGCAGCTTCAAGGATTGAACAGGGCTGGAGATAATCCCGAAACTCCATCAGCTCTTAGAGCTATGGGCCCTCAAATGCTCTGAGGGGTCACTGGGGCTGGATCTTTACACAGTACCTTCTCTGCCTCCCCAGGTAGGGTCCCCATGAGCCCCCTTCCTAGGCTCAACCTCTGAGGCCTTGGCAGAAGCTTCCCTGGCATCCAGCCACTGGGACACAGCAAGGAGAAGACATGACTGTAAATGGACTTGCTCAGCACTTCAGTCATTTTTCTTTTAGTGCATCAAAGCCCAGAACCAGAGGCTTGGGGAATCCAGGGCTGAGAGTTGCTACTAGAAATAGTGGTATCTAATTCAGTAACTTCAGAAGGAGAGTCCGTATGCTGCTGGGTGGGCAGGCACTGCATGTGCTAAGATTCCCTGGAACCATAGCAAAAGAAAGCCCCTAGGCAAGCCACAGCTGGCTGAAACAGCCTCTTATAGACTAAGACAGCAAGTATGGGGTGCTGGTGGGAGTCCGAGCACCTTTCTCCAGGAGCTCTCTCCAGCCTCTGCTTGGAGTCCTTCCATTAGAGGCTTTCCATTGTCATAACCTTCATGTTAAAAAAACAGAAGCTCATGGAGGGGTGTGACTCATTTTCAGGTCACTGATGAATTTGTACTCAGCTGGACCCAGTGGATTGCCAGGCAACATAATTTTGACAATGCCAGTTGCACATACAATGTCTCCTTTTCCTTGACTAAATCAGTGCATGAACGGAAACTAGACTGAGCTCTTTGTTTGCTGCAGCTATGAGTGCACAGTCAGCAGACAGTAAACGTTAAATGATAATAACCGTGTGTGAAACACAGTAAATATTGAATCACAGAGAATAGCTCTGGACTTATTCTATTACAAAGACAAGAAACTGTTGTTGAGGAAGTGGGAGGGGAGCATGAAACCTCAAAGAGAAAAAAGCTGTTTAAGCAGGAGCAGAAGGACTTGATCTTTCCTTCCTACATTCACTCATAGATTTGTTTATTCGTTCAACATACTTTGTCAAGAATCTACTCAGTGCTAGGCCAGTTAAGCAGACCAGAATATAGAGATAACCGAGTCACAGCATTGCCTTCCTGGAGCTCTCAATTCTTTAGCGGCAGAAATGATACCCAGCCTGTTGTCCCCAGCCCCATATCACTGCCAACGCACAGACACTCTTAAGATGGCGGATTTCTGTCCAGTCTCGACCATAGCCCTTCCTCGTATGCTCCAGCCCTGCAGGCCTTACAATCTTTCCTCCACAGGCCAGCTTCCTCTTGTCTCCAAGTGGAAGTATTTCTGTCCAATCTTCCTGAAACTCTCCTCCTAGAGCTTGCAAGCTGGCATCTTTTCAGTGTCATCTTATCTGTGTCTCACTCTAAATGACACCTTCTCTGAGATGTAGTGCCTGGTCATTCTAGCTATAGTAGTCCTTTCCAAGCACATGTGATCTCTATTACAGCCCATCAAAACACACTTCCTACCACAATTATCACTACTAGAAGTTTATCGTATGCATTTACTTGAACATGTATCGATGGTCTAACTTTCCAGGAAAGTAAGGACTTTACATGTCTTATTTTCTTCCACTTCAAAGATGTTTGAAAAGTGCTTTGATAATAAATACCCAACAAATTATTACTGAATTGCTGTTTCATATATGTGTGTGTGTTCACATATGCATACTTACACATATCCATCATGGATATAGTAAACAATCGAGATCAAAGAGTATTAAATCTCATCAGAGGATTAAAGAAAGAATAAAGGTTTGTTGAGAAATCTAAGGTGGCAAAGGACCCTCCTGCTCTGCCTACCAAGAGCTACTCCCAAAACCTGGTGATATAAGCACCATGGAGGATGTATCTAATGATGTTCCTCAGAAGAGAGAAGGCACAGATAGACTGAGAATCTTGAGATGTGAAGCTACACATACATGTCGGAGGGAAGAAAAAGTCAGGCTGGAAATGTAGTTGTGACTCACAGGCATAGGATTTCAATGCCGGCGTTAGAGTAGGTATTTTATTCAGCATGCAATAGGATACTGATAGAGAGTACAGTTGATCAGAGAGCCATTCCTGTCTCCATTAAAAACAAGTCAAAGAAATAGTAACATGACCAAAGTCAACTCTTGAAATTCCCTGCTGATTGATTTTCCAATTGCATTTTCTTTTTTCTCTTCCCCTGGTCCTTGCATATAAACATTTCATTGACGTCTTCAAGTCCTATTACAATCAAATTTCAAGCAAAAGGGGGACTAAACGCATTTGGTTGGGAACCAAGATGATTCCCATAAAGGCAGATTATGCTGACATGATGAATATAAAATGAAACAGCAGATATTAAAGTGGGAGAATCAGTACACCATGCCTTCCAGCGGTAGGCTGACTCCAGCTTCTGCTTCCCGCCTACTCAGCATAGTTTGATTTTATATTGGAATCATAAAGAAACACAGGGATTGCCTTTTCACCTTTCTCTGTTCTCCCCCCATGGGCTGCAACTTGTGAAATATTCAACAGGCTCAAATCCCCTCAACTATCCCGTGAAAGCTAGAGGATCAGCCTTCATCAGTAATTCTGGGTAGACTGCCATCCTGCCTTCACAACCATGGATGCCTTTCAGCCTCTTGGAAAAGAAATAAAAAATCCCGAAGGCGTGTTGTGCTTTTAATTGGCTTCTTCTCCCTAATCTATGGCACTCGTTGTATTTTTATTTAATTCCTGAAGGTCATTATGAAAATAAGCAGCTCTTCTGATCACCAGCCATCTTGGTAACATCTCCCAAGTGGCCAACTAACCATCCTTCTGATTCCACAGCACCAGCTGACCCTCCAGCAGATTATTCACAGAAAGCCAGAGACACCTTCTGATGAGTTTATAAATGGTCTTTGTCTTACTGGGGGAAAAGCAGATATGATATGAGATTGCTTATAAGAACTCACTGCCTAGGCAGAAAGAGTTGGGAAAGATAGTGATACTGACTTCCACCACCCTTGCCATGAGCTGTTCTTGCATTCATGGGTGATCATCAAGCAGCAACCTCTACATGTCCTCTTTTTATTCTCTACAATGGTTAATTAATGCAAATCGTTATCATCTCCCTCATGGGCTATTGAAAATTGTTCTGTGCCAGTCAGAGTCTCACCAGAATAGACAAGACACATTCTG